TGGAATTGAATGTAACGACGCAGACGACACAACGGATAGACGCTGGCAAATGAACCACACTGGGGAATACGACACACTGGGGAATTCTAAAGGAATAGTCAACTGGTGCTAACACGACCAATTGTCTCTTTTAGACAAGGAAAGGTAAGAACGAGATCCTTAATGGAGATGGCACCGGTGAGACGACCTCCACTGGGGAATACCGAGAGTAATTGTTCAACAGGTTCAGGCGTGACTGGATGACACTCTAGAGTAAAAAGTAAAACTAGGATCTGCACGACTGTAGGATCGATTAACAAGATGCTGGAGCAGACGGAATTTTCGGAAATCCATAGAAGATATATAGGGTAAAAACCGACTGTATGCCAAAATAAATGGTCTTAAATGTGAAACGCCCTGATAAGCTTTCTCGAGAGAGAACTGCTACTTATCGTCGGAAGGGACTTATATGCCAAACTGGATAAGCTCTCAAATAAAGAGATTGTCGCTTATCTGTGGATAATTGATTGATAAGCTCAAATGGAGGGAATTGTCGCTCATCTGATAAATAAACCTCTTCATATCTAGGGTCGGCGCCCGAAATACGATTCAGATTCTTCTTTTACTAAAGGATAAAACGAACTTCTTCATACTTCAAGGTCGGCGCCCTGAACACGATTCAACTCCTTCTTTTACTAAAGGATAAAATGAACTTCTTCATACTTCAAGGTCGGCGTCATGAACATGATTCAGTTCAAACCTCCCCGCACTTCAAGCTGAAAAGGAAAATGGAAGCCCAACTGCTTGATGGAGATGGCCATTTGCTGCAAGTCATAACGAAGATAGGATAAGCTCCTCAGGCGAGAAATACCACTTTGATAGGCTTCTCGGGTGAGAACTGCTTGTAGAGGTGGTAACAGGTAATGTAAATTGTAATGAAGGTTGTAGTGAAAGTTGCAATGTAAATTGTAATGAAGGTTGTAATGAAAGTTGCAAGGTAAATTGTAATGAAGGTTTGTAATGAAAATTGTAAGGTAAATTGTAATGAAGGATGTAATGAAAGTTGTAATGTAAATTATAATGAAGGTTGTACTGAGCTCCTTGTACGAGAAGATCAATTGTAGAGTGTAATGAAAAATTGTAATGAAGTTTGTAATGAAAGTTACAAGGTAAATTGTAATGAAGGTGGTAAGCTCCTCGGCAGGGAACTGTCGCATATCTGCAAAGGATTGTAAATGCTCTTCTTGAAAGATAGTGCAAAATAAATGCACGCTCAGGTAGGTTCGGCGACCGACGGGACCGAAACTCAATCTAGAATTAGGCTAGAAAGAACTGACAAACAAGTCTCCATTGAGGAAACGAACTCGAGTGAGACTATCTTACCTAACGCGGAAAGGTAACAGAAATAACCATCACCCACGAGGGTTGAACTCTGTGGAGAAACTTGGAACAAACAAGTATTTTATGCTTAGGGATGACAATCTACTTGGAGAGAGTGGGTCAACCCAGTTACTCGTCGGTAATGACAAGGATGACACGGATAGCAAAACAATGCAGATGCTAATGCGCATGCCAAAGTGTATACTAATGTGTATGTTAACGTGTATGAAAATGTCATGCAATGAGTATGTGATGCTTAGGCTCATGCATATGCTGACGAAACAGACGAAAGGAGGGAACATGAGATGAAATAAACATCTCGACGGGGATACCCGGGGACCTTTGCAACAATACATCTATCAGGGGATAAGAAGAGTTGATGGTAGCACCCAATCTTGCTTTAAAGTTATAACTTCCCTGGGGAGAAAATCTCATGACTTCCACATGGGGATACAATACGACTTCACCGGAGAGTATGATGTCCTGACTTCAACTGGGGATCCATGACCTCCGCATGGGGATAAGATGCCCTGACTTCACGTGAGGGATTACTATCATGAACGATAGTCAGCCAAAGAAACTCTTAGGATCAGAGACTTTCGGGGATAAAATAAATATCTGCTATATGAGGGAGGCGTGGAGCTAGGCAGCTTCATGGAGATAGTGTAGCCACTTCCTGGGAATAATACCTCGGCTTCCTGGGGAAAGACACGTCCGACTGGGGATAAAGTACATCAAACTTTCCCGCAGAGAGTTCATCAGACTTATTAGGGAGAAATCAACGGACATTCCTGGGGACAGTATCTTGACTTCCTGAGGAGCATACCACAATCTCCTGGGGAATATTCCTGAGGAAGGTAAGGCAATTTCACTGAGGAACAAATGATCCTAATGAGAATGGGTTTTCAAGAACATATATCACTTGGAGGATATCGGGGATATCTCTGCAGTCTTGAGATCACTAGGGATTTATCGGATGGACCCCAAAAGTGTGGACAACTTAAAGTCTCGCTGGGGACTATCACTGGGAAGATGCTGGTATGATCTCTGTAGTCTTGGAGATTACCGGCTCGGTCCAAAGTGTTGTCTGCTTATAGTCTCGTCGGGGACTGCGTCGGCTTAAAGTCTCTCTGGGGACTAAGTCGGCTTAAAGTCTCTCTGGGGACTGTCAGTTAAAGTCTCTCTGGGGACCGTATTGAGGCAATGGTTTAGACATAGATTCTGCAACGATGAGATTTACTGGGGAATGAAGACCACCGAGAGTAAGATCCATCGGGTGCATGAAGAATGTCGTGAAACAAGCTAGTTTTGATCTCAATAGACCAGTCGCCATTTTGAAAACAATATGCCCCAGAGTACCTGCTGTATGAGAGAGTCACCAAGAGGATTTTACAGAGAACATAGGGTTCGATTGCCCCACTGTTTTCAAACTCTTGGAGAGATTTGTCAAATCTCGACGTAACTGGCACAGATTAACCGTGTTATGACTGAGTCTACAAGAATAACTCTTAAGTACTTCAGGCTTGCATCAATAAGTGAATTGGGAACTGCCTGCCCCTGTTTAGCAGGATCTTCAAGCTCCATTGATTATGTCTATATGTAAGTTTCTAAGATGTTAGGCAAAATCGACACGCGTGAAATGCTATCTTGAAACTATCAATGCAACAATATTTGTCTTGAAAATCTTTGTTTTTATTTTGAAAAGGGATATCGCTATAACTCGTGACCGAAATCACATAGTCAGGATATGAATTTAATTTGTAATTCCAACGGTAAATTGAGCATAGCTCGTAGGAGTCAGGAAACATTATCTCGTCGAGTATGCCTTCAAAAGAAGCCCTACTTCAATTAGGTCTTTTAAGGGTTGTATCGTGGAGCCATGGTTTACCCATCCCAAATAGTGTGTACTATGGGTTCTTGCATCTGCAGAACAAGGGTCCTAAGAGGTTCCCAGAGTTATCGATAAATCTTTCAAATATTATCATCTTACTCGACTACTCATGTTGGCTACTAATATTCTCAAGATAAACTCGTCTGAGTGTAGTATCGCATGAAAACCATCACAGGTTTACACCTGGATAATCACTGCACTACGTCCTAAAAGGCTTAAGGGGATGAAGGGATACTAAGGTCATCGGCTTCACGGACTCCCAGGTCAGAAAAAGTAACGCCAATGTGACTACTCGTACAACATCATTAATCCCAAAGGGGCCTCCAATGAGCGTGATTATATCAAATGTTAATCATGTTAGGACTACCCCCAACAGTTAACTATTGATTATACCATAATCCTATCATAAGTGTACACTTAAGTCCGGGTTAGGACGCATCTCACCACTCAAAGGTAACAATCCTGCATACAGAAAAAACCAGGCACAACAGATATATATATATATATATATATATATATATATATATATATATATATATATATATATATATATATATATATATATATATATATATATATATATACACACACACACACACACACACACACACACACACACACACACACACACACACACACACACACACACACACACACACACAAACATACAAGTATACAAGCAAGAAAACGTATAAAATAGCACAAAAACCAACAAAGTGGGCTTAACCCTCTTGGGAGAGTATCCCCAGTGAAGTCACAATTTATGTTGCAGTGAGAATCAAACATCAAGCTATTAATTAACTTGAATCACAAATCATGAAGTTCACCACCGAGCTTTAATTTATCCAAACGAAAGGGTAAAGATCAAAGAAAACCCTAAGTGCGCTATGTAACTACAAATCTAAGAGAATCTAAGATTCGAGGGTTGGTTATACCTAGGGAAGGTGTTAGCATCCTAAATATCTATAGTACTCTACAGGAACCTCTTGTTAGTATTTATTTTATGCTACTTTTTTACTTACTAAGGGAAATGTGCTAAGGTAAAAACCTAGGGTATATACAAAATGTGCTTGCCAAGACATCGCATCTCGTGCCTATGTATCCTAACTAGGATGGAATCAGAGCATTCGTAGTTCACCTGACTAGGGGTGGTTAGGTTTTTGTGATCTCACCAAGGATAAGGATCCTCGTGCCTACGTACCCTCATTAGGGAATGAGGAATCAGAGCGTCCGTAGTTCACCCCAATGCGGGTGAGGATCTCTTGACTGTGGTCAAGGTTCCAAAGGGAAAGGTAGGTGTTCATAAACATGACACCTACATAGAGTACGATGACTCTAAACCTAAGGTTAGGTTAAAAAAAAGGAGGTAAGTGTCCATGGCAAGAAACTTACATAGAGTACGACGACTCTAATCCTAAGGCTAGGATAAAAGGGAAGGACCTAAAGTTTTCCTAAGTATGACATGGCAGTCAGCAGGGGATCCTTTCCTTTGGAATCAGGCAAAAGAGATCAACGAACGAAATAGGAATCAAAATCAAGATAGAAACAAAAAAGACACTCACAAGATTTCATCAAGAAATATTTACAAATATCATCAAGGAGAGAAGTCACAAGTTAGTTGTCAAAAATTAAAATCTAAACAATTACATTCTAAACATGAATAAAAAATGATTAATTCACTAAAACTAAATAGGATAATATTTTTTAGGTTTTTATATTCAAATAATAATACAATGAATAAAGAAAAACGATGAAGAAAGGACGAGGGCGGCCGAAAGCCATGGTGCCACCGTCACCACCATCGGAATCACTTGCCAGCTTGAAGACTCCCCAGATTGTTTCAAGAACTACAACGCCACCGGACTCTAGCTCGAAGATGTTTGAGATTGGAGCAAAAAATGATAAAGAGATGACAACCACACTCGAGAATACAATCAAAGAAACCCCAACAGAAGCGACACAAGCTCAATCTGAGGAGCGTAAACTATGGGTGGATATTATAAACGACAACCAGAACCCTGCCAAGGGACTGACAATGGAATACGTCGCGCCAAAAGTAGTCAACGAGATGATTGAAATTGATATTGAACAAGAAGACATCGAAACGGAAATACGATTTTGGGATAATGCCATAATTCTTTATGTTGTAGGAGATGATTTGAGTATGAACACGGTGAAGAACTTTATGCAGAGGACGTGGAATTTCGTGAAAATACCAGATCTTTATTACCACGATGACGGTTATTTTCTGCTCAGATTCAACTCCCAGAAAGACAAGGAAACCGTGATGATGAAAGGCTCATACACGATTCGAAATATACCCATGATACTGAAGGAATGGCAAACTAGTTTCAATCTAAAGAGGGACCTGCTAAGAACTTTACCAATATGGGTGAAACTCCCCCAACTTCCCCTGCATCTATGGGGGGGAAAAAGTTTGAGCAAGATTGGAAGTGCCATTAGAAAACCCTTGGTGACTGATGAATGTACGGCAAACAAGCTCCATGTATCATATGCAAGGCTACTGATTAAAGTGGATATTACACAACAATTGATTGATGAAATAGCCATCAGAAATGTTGAGGGAGATGTGATAATGCAGCCTATGAAGTACGAGTGGAGACCAACATTCTGCGAAACATGTCAAAAAATGGGGCACAAATGTGAAGACTGGCGGTAGACTCAACATTGGAAACCAAAACCCAAGCCACCAGAAACATCCAAGAACATCACGCCCTCAAAACAACCAGAAAAAGAGGAAGCAACAGGGCAAGCAGGTGAAGCATGGACAAGAGTGACAAAAGCTGTTCGAGATAAAGGTAAGAGCATATTGCTTGATACTAATAGCAACATCAACTGTATCAATGGGTTTGAAGCTCATGAGGTTATGAATGACCATCAAGGGGTAATAAACCTTGAACCATGTTAGTCTCGTGGAACATAAGGGGACTCAACAAAGTAGGTAAAATTCGTGAGATTAGGTCCCGTCTCCAAGAGCTAAAGCCTGTTATTATAATATTAGTTGAAACTAGAGTTAAAGAAGCTAAAGCCAAGGTCGTTCGTGAGAAACTGATGATATACGATAAGCATATTGATAACTATAAAGACCATACAAATGGTAGAATTTGGATTCACTAGGATAGTAACAGGGTGGAGGTGAGATTCATTCAAAGCAGCAACCAATTTATACACTGTGGTGTCTATGATAATTGTGGAGGTTTCAAGTACTAGTTAACTGCTGTATATGCTCATAACCAACTCAACAAGAGAAGAATTCTTTTGGAAGGATATAGAACACCTATCTGTTAACATCCAAGGACCCTGGTGTGCTGTTGGAGACTACAATAATGTAACCAAAGCCCAGGACAGATTGAGAGGTAATCTAGTGACTGAAAAGGAATATGAAGACCTGCAAAAAAATGATGTGGAATACATGTTTGAGTGAAATGGACAGCATTGGGGATCATTTCACATGGTTCAATAAACAAGTTGTTGGACCCATCTACTCTAGGATTGACATGGTCCTGGGTAATAATGACTGGTTTCTCAACAATATGGAGACTACGTTGAAAATTCTCCCACCTAATATTTCTGACCATGCCATGCTTTATCTGGAGGAAAAACAGGAGCAGAGGAAACCATCCAAACACTTCAAGTTTAGCAACTGCCTTATTGATCTACCAGGCTATGATACTGTGATAAAGAAAAATTAGGATGCTCATATCAGGGGCAGCCCAATGTATGTTCTTTGGCACAAGCTCAAGAGACTGAAGCATGAGTTAAAACAGTTCAACAAACCTCTGTCTGATATTAAAAGAAAGTTGATCTTAGCTAGGGCAAACCTTAAAGAAACACAAGAAAAACTGATTGAGGGCAGATTGAACAACACTTTGGTTGAGGAGGCAAAAAATCTGACTGAGGAAGTGATTTCCATGAACGAACTAGAATGGAAAATCCTACAGCAAAGGGTGAAAATTGACTGGATTAGAAAAGGAGATGGTAACAATCATTACTTTTATGCTGCTATCAAAGGCATACAACATTCTAACTGCCTTACCAATCTAAGAAAGAATGATGGGAGACAGTTAACAACCAAATCAGATATTGAAGAGGAAGTGATTAACTTCTACAGAAACCTGATGGGCAAGGATGTTGACTGCATTAACCACATTGATATTGAAGCCATGAGGATGGGAAAGCAACTTAACATGGAACAAAGGGAATACCTCACCAGACCCATTTCTGAAGCTGACATCACCAAAGCCCTCAAAGGAATAAGAGATCTAAAAGCTCCAGGACTGGATGGCTATGGAGCCAAATTCTTCAAAGCTAGCTGGGAAACTGTAAAAACTGATGTGATTGCAGCAATAAAGGAGTACTTTGAAACAGGAAGAATTTACAAAGCTTTCAACAATGTTGTAGTTTCCCTGATTCCAAAAGACCATACTGCTTGTGAAATAAAAGATTACAGGCCTATAGCTATGTGTACCACCTTTTATAAAATCATCTCCAAAATTCTGACAGACAGACTAGGAGTTGTTCTTCACAGTGTGGTAAACCACAATCAAGCAGCTTTTGTGCCATGCCAAAACATTCATAATCACATCATGCTTGCAACCGAACTTCTTAAGGGTTACAACAAGAAAGGGGGCACACCTAGGATCATGCTGCAAATAGATCTACAAAAAGCTTATGATATGGTGAATTGGACTGCTTTGGAATGTATCATGAAAGAAATAGGGTTCCCTAACAAATTCATTCAATGGACTATGCTAGGCATCACCACAGTTTCCTACAGATTTAACATAATGGGAGAGTACATTGGAAGTTTGCAGGCCAAAAGAGGGATTCGACAGGGTGATCCCTTATCCACTATGCTCTTTGTCCTCATGATGGAGTACATGAACAGGCTCTTGGTGAAAATGCAAAAAGATCCAAATTTCAACCACCACGCCAAATGCGAGAAGCTGCAAATCACAAATCTCACTTTTGCAGATGATGTGCTGCTGTTTTATAGAGGTGATGACATATCTCTGCAAATGATTTTAAATACTTTCAAAAAGTTCTCCAATTCCACAGGTCTGATATTGAATCCTAACAAGTGCAAAATCTATTTTGGGGGGTTGGATAGTGAGAGGAGAAAGACTTTGAAAGATCTGCCAGGCTTCCATGAAGGATCTCTTCCGTTCAAATATCTATGTATCCCTTTATCTAGCAGGAAGCTAAACATTAACCATTTTATGCCTTTGGTGGATAAAATTGTGTCTCGAATCCATCATTGGTCCTCTAGACTCCTTAGCTACGCAGGTAGAATTCAGTTAGTGAAAAGCGTAACTGTTGCAATGGTGCAATACTAAATGCAATGCCTCCCTCTGCCTAAAGCTGTGATCAGGAAAATAGACTCTATCTGCCGAAGCTTCATCTGGACTGGTAAGAATACAATTAGCAGAAAATGCCCAGTGGCTTGGGATCACACCTGCTACCCGACTGCTCAGGGTGGTTTGAATCTGCTGAATCTTCAGGTTTGGAACAATGTGCTGCTCCTAAAGTGTCTTTGGAATCTGTGCAGAAAAACTGATAATTTGTGGGTTAAATGGATCCATACTCATTACTTGAAGGAAAACAGTGTGATGAATTACGAAATCAAAGCATACAATTCTTAGATTGTTCGCGGTATTTTGAAACAACGTGATAACCTGGAAGTAATCCGGAATGAATGGGATCAAATTATAAATGCGCAAAAGTTTAAAGCTTCGGTTTTTTATAAGGTGCTAATTAATGATGGCACAAGGGTGCTTTGGGGAAAATTGATAAAGTTCAACAAGGCCCGGCCGCCTGCAGTTTTTTTCTTATGGCAAGCTTATCATGGGAAGCTTGCGACCAAGGATAGGCTGAAATGTTTTGGTATGATTGAGGACAACAGCTGCAACTTATTATTAATCATTTGTATTTTTTTGAAAACTATTCATCTTTCAAACACGCAGAAGCTTACCCTAAATGCAAACTTTCCAGCAAGAAGAAAAACGTACCTCACCTCTCTTTCTTTCAGAATTTTGCCATTCTGTCTCTCTCTCTCTCTCTCTCTCTCACGACCTCTTCTCAAATTTGTTCATCTCTTTTCCAAATTGCGGAGGATCCCTTTCTTTTCTCTATCACGCGCTGCTAGCGGTACGACGACATTAGGTACAGAATCAGTTGTATGCAGAAATGGATAGTCAGAAGGATTTGACGGAAGGAATGTTGGTGGTTTGAACAATGGGGGTTTGGGTTCTGAAAAAGGTGGATTTAGGTGGTGAAAAAAGTTTGTATGATGATTTTAATAGGTGATAGGACGGTGGTGTCTTGATTTGACGGAAGGAATATTGACGTGGAGGTGATGTGTGTGAAGGTTGCCGACGGCAAAATAGAGGAAGGGTCGATGAAAGGGGTCGTTCTATAGAATGTTTGAAGAAGGGTTCAAGGTTTGTTGTGGCGATTTGAGGAAGAGGAAAGGAGGCATGGGAGCATTGAAGGTGCGTAGAATCTGTCGAAGATGGTTTCTAGGATGAACTGTTTGAAGAGTTAGAAAATGATGGTGAAGCCGTGTGGCCTGTTTTTTTAAGTGAAAGTTGCAATTTTTTGGCTTATAGAGGAGATGATTTTGTTGGTGATTTTGAACAGACTCTGAATCTGTTGTTTGTGTTTGTTGATGCTGCGTGTTGATTATTACTGGTGAGAGGAAAGAAGTTCTTGGTAGCTATCCATTTTTTCAAACGTCTTTTTTCTTCTCCTTTCATTCTATTTTATCTCTTCTCTTGATACCGTGTGCCATCGTTTTCCTCTCAGCATCGCAGGCTTGTTCTTTTTTGGCTTCGAGTGGAAGGCAGTGTTAGCAGGGTGTGCAGAGCGTTGGCGTTTTGCATTTTGTTGTTTCAAGATTTTGGCGTTTTGCATTTTGCTGTTTCAATAGTAGCAGTGTCATTTTGATGTTGTGTGGAAATGACCTATTGTTTGAGAGTGTATGCACCATGATGTGTAGCTCTTGAATATGTGTTTTTGTGAAAAACTTTTCCTTTTTTTTAGACTTACTATTGTCATTGTTTTGTGCAAGTAGCAACATTCCCTTTTGGTGTAAATGCAGGTTGTAGCAGGTTAATGGTAGCATGTTTTGGTCAAAATTGCAGATTTTTGGAGTTTTGCATTTTGTGAATTTTCTTTGTTGTGGATCAATGGGCTTTTTTATTTTCTTGTAAAATTCTATGGGCTTGTTGTAATGGTGATGACAATGAATATTTGTGATGAATGCTAAATAAATGTTTATAAAAGAAAAAAGAAAATGGATAACTAATCAAAAGGATTTTCATGAAATGGATGGGTATGAATAATGAGGAGTTATAAATGGATAGTTTGAAAAATTGAATAAAAAATGGATATTAAAAAAGAAATGAAAGGGAGAATCGATAGGTTTCTTATGGTATTAGATAGATCTAAAAGCAAACAAAAAAGTTTTGGACAAAATGTGGATAATGTTGAATTATGAATAAATTTTTTAAAAAAATGGATTTTGAAATGGATTTTTGAGATGGATATGGATAATTGGATTTTGAAATTAGATACTTGGTTTAATAGTTTGGATTAGAAAAAGTGAAAAATGGACATGAAGAAGGAAATGGATAATTGAGATGGAAAATAGTTTGGGAA